CATGTTATTCACTATTATTTCGAATTCAATTTCCAATAATCAATTCAGTTGATCGAAATATAGCTTTTTAGATGTTTAGATATAATAATATTATTAGAATATTTAAATTTTGGAATTGATGAAATTCGATATGAACTTTAATCAAAAATGAGATTAATCAAAAATGCGAATTAATTTAAAACAACTTATTTGCATCAATAGATTAAATAACCATTTAAAAGTTGAAATGAATATCGAAAATGTTAAATACTGATAAGAAAGTAAGCGAAGTATAAGTAACTCTTATTTAATTTCAAATTTCTTACTTGCAACAAACTTTGTTATTAAGCATTAAAGTTAAGTGACCTGAAATTGTGTCCTTATAAATACTCAAGAAAAATTGTACTAATTATGTAATATCAAATTAATTTTAAAAAATTTGAATGAACCAGATTTCAATAAATTTGTAGCTTAATAATAATCAGGCGTAATCTCAAAAATTTATTAAACTTTTTGTCAAAGTCAATTAATTTATCTTATATAATTAATACAATTTAATATATTTGAACTGAAATATAACAATCGAAATATAAATTTAGTCGTATTTTAATAATTTAAATAAGTTATTTTATTTTTTATAAATTACGATGTATTTTTGAATTGAAATAATTCAAACATTCATTAATTCATTTTTATTAGCTTATAGGATAAAATTATGTGAAGAAATACAACCATATAAAAGATTTTGATTTAAGTGATAAATTATATGATTATTTTTTTCGAGAAAATATTTTGCAAATATTCAAGCATGGATAAGATTTTTCAAGTTTTGGATTATTCAAAAAGTAATGGTTTAAATTTCGAAAAATATGAAAAATTTATTTTTAATTATTAGATACATGGAAATATTTCAGGATTGCTTTCAAAAATCAAAATCGAAAAATCTTTAATTCTAGTTAATGTAATTCGAGTATTTTAATTACTATCGTACTGTTAAAACTTTTTTAATTCATTCGATTTCAAAAATATTAATAATTAATAAGCCAAATGATAGCTGAAAAATGATATTTGCATGATTTTCGAAAAATCTAATTTAAATTTTTTTACTTTATACTAAAATTAACTTAAGAAAATAATTACACAGTAAATCACGAAAGCTACAATAGAAATTAAGGCACAAAATTAAAATAATAGTAAAATGATATTATTTTATTTAACTCATTTTAATGCTAACTACTGCCACAAATTTGTTCAATTAATTATTATTGATGTAATAATTATAATAAAATAAGATGTTAATTAATTGAAAAGTATTGAATTCAAAATTGAACTTCAATTGTCTTTTGATTTTAATTTTAAATAAATTTGAAACAGATTTCAAAGTATACAGTAACTTTTTAACAGTTATATTGTATTTCACAGAAATCTTTTTTATGGCACCAATTTTCAACTTTAAAGAACAAAATTAAGATAAAATAAAAATAATAAAGTTAAGGTTTCGTGATAATGAATAATTGTACCAAATTGTAACATAAGGCTTGCATGTCTAAATTTAATTAAATTAATTTTTTAAATTCGACAAAAAAAAAGATAACTATATTTTTAGTTCTTTATTTCTGTATTAAAATAGCGATTATATTTGAAATACGGATTTTATTTCTTTACGTTAAAAAACTATTACAACAATAACTTTCAAGCGTCGTCATATGATTTAGATAAAGTTGCTTTATTTTTGCAAGTAATGCTCTTTTTTAAAAAAAATTTTAAATACAAAGTTATATACAGAAATTTGCCTAATTTTTTAGTCAGACTTTGCCCGTGAAAATTTGCATAATTTTTCAGAGAGTTATCTTGCATCTCTATGCATAATTTTCCACCAATTTCATCCAGTGGATTAAATACTTCTCCAAGATTTCTTTTTTGATTATTAGGTAAATTCAAAATCGAAAAATCTTAAATTTCAGTTAATGTAGTCAAAAGTCTAATACAGAAAGAATATAACAGAATTATCGATTTTACGAAATATTTAATTAGACAAATTTAATATTTTTATGCAAATTAACCAATTTACAAAAAGTTATATGAAAAAATTTTTCGATTTCAGCATTGTATTTAGAGAATGAAACTTTTAAAACATACAGCTATCATTTGATTATTTCAGTTTTGATTAATCTCGTCTAAAAATTTAAGTTCAAAAAAGTTTTGATCGATATGATTAATGCTTTCACACTTATTAGTAATTCAAATTTGATTTCAATTAATTTGTAAAGTTTTTTCATAATTGCATACAATTATTGACACAAATGATTTGTATCTCAAAGGTTTACTTTTACTTTTTAGCGTATCAAATTTGAACGATTTCAAGAATTTCAATTTTATCGGAATATCCTTTCAGTTTTACATAAACTTCTAAAAAAGTAAGTCCATATTTTCTTTAAAGTACTTTAATTGGTAATTAATTACAGTTCATATCATAAAAATATAAGTTAACTAATTAGCTGCCATTCATTTACTGCGCTTAAACAGTTTTCTAGCACTTTTTATTCGAGGATTTTGTTGCTAAACTTTATAAATTAGCATAAAATTTCATTGCTACAGTAAAAAACAGGTAGCGATTTAAGCTAACTGTTAGCCATTTTTTGGTAAAATTCTATTCTTTCGATAAATAAATCTGATTAATTTAGTACTTTCAAAAAATGCTAAAATGCTTGATTATTTAAGACATTAATCGAGTATTTATCAGTTAACTCTGAAAGTTATTCAAATAAAAATGAGTAAAATTAGTGATGAGGAAAATTGTTAGTTGCCTAGGCAATAAGCTTAGAATTTGTCATTGACATTTAATAACGATGTTTAAATTACGTCTATGAAAGCTCTTTGATCCAAAATACTAAAACAAATCTACTAATCAAAAAAATAAATAATAAAATTAAAAATAAAAACTTATATAATCCAAATAATTTTTGAACATAAATTTAATTGTTGAGATATTTCAGTACAATTCAAAAATTAAATTATATTTGGCGGAAATTATTTGTTAGAATAAAAATTGGTATTTATTTAATAATACTACTGATAGTTTTATATCTAAAATTGTTGTAAACTACAAAAATAATGCTAGAAATCAATAAAGTTATTTGCTTGAAAATTATGAGTTAAAAAATTAAAATCACTTAATATTCTTATATATGCTGTAGAAATGGATTTTAGCATTTGTAAACAAATTTTACAGTTGACAATTTGAATTTTTCAATTTATTTGTAAAGAGATAAATGACAGGAAGTAATCGATGTATTCACTTTTACATACATAGAAATTTCATTACATATAATCATCAATTCATAACTTCAAGTAAAATTCGCGATTGAGGATAAAAGTAAACGGTTACTTTATTTCATAGAATATAGCAAAATATTTTGCATTAATTAAGTGAAATTACTTTGCAGGGCGTGAGATATTGCAACGTGAATACGTAAAAAATTACGTCTAAAAAAGCTCTCTGATCCAAAATATTAAATCAAATATACTAATCAGTTTCAAACAAATAAAAACGAAGTTAAACTTACACTTAAACTTTGGAAAAAAGGATTATTAGCAAATTGCATTTTATTGAATAAAATGAAAAAAGCAGAAATATTAGTGCAAGCACATGGCTGCAGATATCACTTTAGATAAAAGCTTATCAAAGATATAAAAAATTAGTAATGCCTTTATATACAAATTATATATTTAAAAACAAGTTGTTTAAAATTCAATATTTTTTATATCAAGTTTACCAATCCATCTATTGATCTATTTGACTTATACTTGCGCAGATCAAAAATTGAACTCTTTAAATCATTCTGAGAATTTTGAGCATTAGTGAGATTTACTTTAGCTAGACTAGCTCACAATGTCTTACTCTCGAGAGTGATCTTTTCGAGAGTTTAGCAGTAAAATTTAAGTAATGCATGAAAAAGTGTATGCCTAAGGGCTTGTCCAAACCCTTTATGTTAACTCTTTCCTGAGATGCCAGCAATTGTCGATAATTTGTTGTGCAGTTTAGGCCCAGCAAGTTTTCAAGCCTATTCTAGCTTCTAGCCAGATTCTCATTTTTACTCTTTACTTGCACTTATTTGCAAAATTGTAATATTGCGATAATGAATATCCATTTCATGTTTACATCTTGAAAAGGCAAATATTATATCCGTTTGCTAAGCTCTGAACCAACTGTTTTTCGTTTTATCAACAAAATCCAATCATCATTTGTTAATAATTAATATTTGATTCTTTTTTCGTGTAAATTCATATTCATAAACACAATCACGTTATTATGAATCTGAATGATGATAATCCTCAGCCACAGTTCTTTTAAATATCAATGACTCTTTTTAAAAAAGAAAACAAATTCAATATTTTAATAAATATAATTGAACTATTGATTGCAATTAATTAAACTCTCGAATTACATCGTCAACTAAGTTAATTATTGGCTTAAAGTTTTTCATTGCAAATTTTGCAAAAAAGTTTTCAATTATTAATATTTAGTAATAATATTTGTGTTTAATATTTCGTTAACAAATGTTTAATACTGTGTATTAATTATTTTAAAGTACTGATTAACTCAAAATTTCAGAAAGTACCAAATATTTAATAAAAATATAATTTGAATTTAATGAATATACAATTTGAATTTGAACAAATTATGCTCAATTGATAAAAATTCAATGAAAAACTGTACGGTAGTTTTATGAAATATTAATTTTTAATTTCGAATATGTTTTAGTCATAATTTCATGGTACAGTTTTGTTTTTTATTAGTATTTGACATAAATAAAAACTGAATTTTTCGAACCTTTTTTTTTCCAACTTGTATTAATTTATCTTATTACAGTATTAATCGTTTTGAATTTTTTGTACTGTTTCAGTTCGGAGCAAAAAATGAATGTTTCTTTTAGATACCAAGTCAAAATATCTTAAACTACATTAGCAACTGAATTATATTTACGTGGGAATAAAAAAAAGTCACGCGTAAAAATACAATGAATGTAACACCACGTAATAGCAAGATATTCTCGGGACGACAAAGAATTTTTTTGCCACATCCACAGAGTAGTCGAGCATCACTTATTGCTGGAGCTATCAAAGTAATTACTTTAATTTTCATTTTAATATTTTGTTGACGCTTATGATTATTACATGAAATAATCCCGTGAGATTGACTTATAAAGCATAATTATTCATGTTTATCTCACGTAAAGTTCACATTTACAAATTTACCTCGTGTTATATTCGTGAACTTATCTAATACATTTGTAAGAAATTCTCTTTATTGAAGCAGATTATTTATATTTGTAATAATATATGTGTATTTTTTTCATGTTTAATTTCTTGATTACAAGTAAAATTTTAAATGTACAGGCTTTTTAAAGAAAATAAAATGTATAAAATTTAGGTGGATATTATTTTTATAAATTTTAGGAACTTATATATTGCTCTAACAAATTATATTCATTTGATATAATTAAATTATTATATATTATATTTTAAGTATTGTAGCTAAAAATTGGATAACATTTTTCTAATATCATTGAACTGAAATAAAAAGTTCTAATATTAGAATTTAATATACAAATCATAATTGATAATTTTACATCTTAATTGAAATATTACATTTGAATTATTAAATATTTAAACTTTTTTAAAAAATAAAACAAAAGTTTTTAATAATATAGTAAAGATTACTAAAATATAAATCAAAAAAAATCATCCTTCCTAATTATAGCACAAATTCCATCATGATTCTAATCAACGTCAGAATCTTAATCCAAATATTCCACTGCTGAAAGCAAAACTCGCTGGATATTCAGAAGAAGAATTAGAAGAATATCGCCAAGTCTTTAATATGTTTGATACCGGTTGGTTCTGATTTTATAAACCAGATATTTTTTGAGCATTTTCTGATCATTTGTTTATTAAAATATATAATTGCGCACGAAATAATAAGCGGAAATTTATTATTTTTGTTAAATTATTATATTTTGCATTTGCAATAAAATCACTTTAATTCTTTTAGTGCAAAAAGATTACAACTTTAACTACAATACTCGAAAAATATTTGTTTAACTTTGTTTTCCAAGTTTTATTGCCAAAATTCATTTGATATTCTGTATTTATTTTTTAATATAATAAAATAACTTAATATTTTTTGACATTTTCACAAATTCACAAATTCATTTTGTGCATATATTACAAAATATTAAGTTATTTTATTGTATTATATTAAAAAATATCACAAATATAAAAAAACAGCGCATTTTTATGAATTCAAATTGTTAGTAAATTTTTTTCCATCTTCAAAAATTTATTTTCAACAAAAAATAAAAACATTCAAATTTTCTAATACATTTGAGATGGTAGTGGTGCAATTGGCATCGATGAGTTGGAGAGCGCCATGCGCAATTTAGGTTTGCAGCCTGAAAAGAATGAATTAGAGCAAATTATTGAAGAAGTAGATCAGGTCAAAGTTCAACTTGGATTAAAAATTATGTAAAAAGTATAAAAAAATAGTAAAATGCTTTCAAAAAAACAAGCATTTCTTTGCAATAAAACTGCGCATTTTTATTAATATAAATTTTTGATAATTTTTTTGAATAAAAAAGTTTTAAAAATATTTTACAAAAAATTTAAATAAAATGTTTACAGATGGGAAACCATGAAATAGATTTTCATGAATTTTGTGATGTAATGAAACGAATGAGTGATAAAAAGAATAGTTGGAATGATGTGGTACGAGAATGCTTTGCTGTTTTTGATAGAGTAAGAATTAATTAATTAATATTAATAAGCTAATTAATTATTAGATAATTAATTAGCTTATTAATATTTTTATGAATTCAAATTGTTTGTTTTATTTAAGTCCGAAAGAAATAGTCAAAGTATTGCTATTTGCCAATGATAAGTATATTTTCATGTGTGCATTCTTCTAAAAGCGATGCAAGAAATAGCTGAAAAAATTTAATCTAAAAATTAATTTAAATAAAAAATATATTTATGCTTTAACAACACTGCTCATCTTAGAATCAGTAACTCTGCTCATAGATTGATGCAGAATTTCTAATTCTAAATTACATCTTTTAATTTAGGAGTCATAAATTCTGCATTAAACTTTGGCTAAACGAAAAAAACAATTACTATTTAAGGAAATTTGATCCAAAAAGTGATTATTAGATCACTGGATTCAAACTGAGGTCCAGAGATCTAATAATAACTGTTTCGACTACAATATTTGGCTTGAAAATTGAAAATTATGTTTGCCCTACTGACCTTTAACACCGTTTAATTGGATGATCACAAATATTTCGATGGCATTTGGAATATCTCACATAATTTTTATCAGATTATGTTTTCAAGTTTTTCAAAGCTATGTTAATAAGCATATGTTTGTTTTTTGAAAAATGTTTATAATCAGTTTAAATTAAATGAAGTTTTAGAGCGAAGTTGGCTTAATATCAAAAAAAGATTTTCAATATATCCTCGAAGAACTTGGTGATATTCGAGATAAAGCAGTAGTTGACGAGATTTTCGCTGAAGCTGACGTAGATGGTGACGGTGTTTTAGACTATGATGAATTCACATTTATGGTGCGCAATTATATGGTTGATGAAGATTTAGCTAATTGTAAATTTCCATAAACAAAATAAAAACTACACAATTTATATTTTAAAGAATAAAACTTAGCAAAAAAATAATCAACAAAAATTAAAAAATAATTTTACAAATATTTTATAGCATTCATAAGTGTGATATTTGCTTGTGCCATTGAAGAATTGTTATCTACCTGCTTACATTGTTTTTAATATTAAAGTTTACATTAATTGTGATAAAAATTTAAAATATTGTTGAATAATAAAATGTAAAATAAATACAAAAATTATTATTAAAAGTGAAATTGCTAAAAAAATATTTGTGATAAACAAACAAAACGGACAAAAACAAGTATTCATCTTCAATTTTACCATGTTTTTGTACAAAAAATATGAATTAAATTGCTGTGATATCTCATTTATTGTACCAAAAACATTTATAAACTAAAAACTTTATCTGTTGAGGATTATTCGTTTATTCCAAATTTGAATAAGCTTAAAATTTTTTCGCTGTCTCATATTTGGACAGAAAATACAAACTTGTTGGGTATCTATGAATGATTCGAAATTATTCGCATATACGATATCCTGAAAATCTATTTATACAGATTCTAAAAATTTTAGTTTGTATACGTTATTGCTATAGTAATAACCCTGTTATTTTTCATTGAATGCAATTATATTTGCCCAAATTTTATTTTAATTTGCATAAATTTAATTATTAATTCTCACTGGGTTACTTCTTCATAGTTTATGCTATTATTCCTCGTCAGTAAAGTTAGTACTAGAAACATTATAAATTTTTGATCATTTTTATGCGCTATTTTTGCTTTGATTTAAATTAGTTTAAAATATAATTGTTTGATAAATAATAAACGAGTGCAATTCCTCAGAGTTTTATTATTTGAATAACAATTTAATTAAAATGATTTCAAGTATTTAAATCAAATAATTAAGTTCAAGAATAAATGACCAATAAAGAATGACTTTTTCGTATTTTATAAGAATAAAATATGAACTACAGAGTAATAAGTATTGCATATCAAATTCGTTACAGTTTTTTTCACGAAAAATGCAACACTTTTGTCACGTTTATCAATTATTTTTGTAACAAATGTAGTAATTGAAATGTATAATTTTTTTTAAATTCGAAATAGAAATTCGTTAATTTGCATATACATTTATGATTCGATTTTAATTTACTGCATTTTAATTATAAATATTTACAACTAAAAGTGATCCAAGTATCACATTTTTCATTACTGATTTATTTTTGTAACGTCTAAACTAATTAAACTTTAAAGAATTCTAATTTTATTAAATTATTTAGCCATAAAAATAAAAAATATCCCTACTGTCTTGTCTACCCTGAAAAAATAAACGTCCAGCTTTAAATATTATATAAAAT